AAAAGTTAGCCAGTATTACTAGAGTTCAGCACGAGATATCTTTCTAAATTTATTAATTTTGGCTTTGCCTCTGGGCATCCAAGAAGTCTTAATTTATACCTATAGTCATCTTCAACCCGTAATTATAAATAAATGTAAATGTAGTTCTAGTAGGTAAATCTCTAAATACAAAAAAAACTGTTTAATTCATCCCAATCCAAAGCAAACACCAAACTTTGAATACAGTACACTGAAAACACCTTTATGTTTGATGCAATGCACAATGCACACCTAATGAGTTCGAAACAGGACTGTGCGTTCTTATTATTTTGTGGACATAATATGAAGAAATATCCAATATCCAAATAAGTTTCCAATGGCAGCAGAATCCAATACCCACTTGCCAGGGACTGTCCATTTTCAGCATATTCTTGTTTTTTCAGTTCTGGTTTCTAATTCATTGAAAAGTTCTCTTGCTTAAGTCATTAGCAGTAGCAGCATAGGAGCGAAATCTGCTAGATATACACCGTGATTTACGTAGCCCGTGCATTAGAACTTGTCCAGTTTGCAGGTGGACTAGTAGAAATAGCATGTAATCTACCTGCAAGCACGGGCTACGTAAATCACCCTGTATCTACTATGAATGTCGGATGGTTTCATAGGAAACCGAATTTAATTTCTCGTTTATTCCCACATGGGCGGTGGTACTTAGTAGTGGTTACTACGAAATGTGGCCATTTCTTTCTTATTACTGTTTCGTTGAAGGTCCTGGATGCATGGCAAATGGGTTGCGAAAGGATTACAACTATTGTCCTAAATGTGGATATTGACGAATTGGTCTATATTCAAGGGATTTTTCAGGTTCTGTTCTATTTCTATACTTACAGATATTTCCTAGCTCACGGTTTTTGTTAAGGGTGAATTTTTCAACCATTCTCTGATTTTCTTGTTTGTTCTGGTAACTGGCTTTTGTCTCATTCGGGTTGGTTTGATTCCTTCTGGTGTTAATGCATGTCCTAGGAAACTCATTTCCTTCTTGGTCTCGTATTTTCGAAACATGGGAACAGTTTTCTCATGAGAATGAAGTTTCTGTTTTAGTCGCCCATATTGTTATTTCCATAATACTGACAAAGACAGAGGAATCGTTCTCTTGAGAAATCTGTTCCCTGGTTTGGAGAATACGGGCCCTGCCGCATGTATCTACTTGAATTTTAAATCCAGTCTCTCAAAGTTTTTGGAATCCCTTGGACAGATTAACAAGATGTTCTTAGAGAAAAGTACAGAAGATAATGAAATGGTTAAGCTAATTTTCCCTTGAACTCCGCTTAAGATATTATTCCTTCTATCTATCTATCTATTCAGTCTTCTTCAGTCCATCTTTGAACTTAGGCCTTACCCAGTCTTTTCTATTCCTCTCTGTCTGTTGCCATGTTCACCCACCTGGTTCTAACGTGCTTCTTCAGGTCATCAGCATACCTCAACTGGGGTCTTCCTCTACTCCTTTTATTCTCCCAAGGTCTCGAGCTCAAAATCATTTATTCCATGGCATGTCTTTTGTCTGATATTGTGACTTGCGAATTCCCATTTTAATTTTGCTACTTCCTTTCTAACGTCTCTTACTCTCGTTTTATTTCTTATCCACTCGTTCCGGTTTTTATCAGTTTCACATGTAACTTTTGCCTTTCCATTGATCTTTGTGCCTTTGTTATTTTATGCATGTTTGACTTTATAAGTGTCCATGTTTGGGATCCATAGGTGAGGACAGGAATTGATTATACACTTTGATTTTGAGGTATTGTGGATATTTTCTATTTTTCAAGATGTAGCTTAATTTTCCGAATGCTCCCAAGCCAATCTAACTCGTCTCTTGATTTATGTTTTTTTTTGTTGAGTTTAAAAATCTGTCCTAGATATATATGTTCGTTGACTTGTTCTATTTTTTCTTGTCCTATTGTGATTGTGATGTCATCGTCTGTGTTCGTTATTGTTTTAGTTTTAGCGTAGTCCATATTGAGACCTATGTTTTTAGCTGCTGTGTTTTCCAGCATTTCCGTCAGTTCTTCTTTCTTATCAGTGATTTGGGCGACATCATCCGCGTATCTTAAGTTGCTCAAGTGTCCAAATATTTTTATACCTTTTTCTTCCCAGTCTAGTTTTTTTTTAAAACATCTTCCAGGGCCTGGTTGAAAAGTTTGGGTGATATTGTGTCGCCTTGTCTGACACCTCTTCTTATGGGTATTGGTTTTGTTCCGTCATGAATTTTAACAGTTGTTGTTGCTTCGTTATATATGTTGGCCTTTAGGTCTGTCTAACTGTAGTCTATTCTGCTATTAATCAATTACTGCCCAGTGTTTAATACTATTAAAAACCTTTCCGAAGTCCATAAATGCAATATATTGTGGGATGTGATATTCGTTGGCTCGTTCTATTAGGATTTTCATGGGTGGTCACTTGTACTGAAACTCTTTCTGAAGCCGGCCTGCTCTTTCGATTGGTAACCATCGAATTTTATTGTTAGCCTGGTGGTGAGAATTTTTGTGAAGAGCTTATAAACACATAAATTACATTAAGGAGTGTTATAGGTCGATAGTTTTTCAAGTCTGTTCTATTACCTTTCTTATGAAGGATGATGGTCAGGGATTCATTCCAGTTGTTTGCGATTTTTTTTTCTTTCAGTATTTTATTTGGAAGGGTATGGAGAGTATTGATTACCGTTTTTCCACCGTATTTTAGCATTTCTGCCGTGACTCCGTCTTTTCCAGGTGCTTTGCTGTTTTTCATTTCTTTCAGAGCCCTCTTTATTTCCGAGTTGCCTATTTCGGGTTGTAGTTCTGAGTTTACATTCTTTATTTTAATTTGTAGTCTTAACCATTTCATATTCCTGTTATTCTCTATGACTCTTCCTATTTCTATTTCTTGGTTCTTCCTTTTGTTTTCTTTTATCATTTTCCCGATGGCCCTATTGATTTCTGTGTATTCTATCGATTTCCTTTTGCCTTCTTCGTTCAGTTTCCGCCTTCTTTCCATGAATTTCTTTGTATCTTCTGATATGCAATCTTCCATCTTTTTATCTTTTTGTGCGACTTCTTTTCGTACTCTTACCATGGTTTCTGCTAATGTATCGTACATTTTATCTATATTTTCGTTATCGCTGTTCAAGTTGTGGGTCAGTTATTCCTTCAGTCTCTCTTTGTATATGGTTTTATTTTGTGCAAGTTTGGTCATGTCTAGTTGTCCCTTGTTTCCATTAGTTTTTCATTTCAAAGTTACCATCGATACGTATTTTTGCTCTGACCATTCTGTGATCGCTGCCTGTGGTGAATCTGTTCAGGACTGTTACATCTGAGCCATGTCCACTTTCTTTGCGGTTTCTTCTTATAGAACGAGTTCATTGCATAGATGTTTTTATTCTATTTAGAGCATCAAGGTAGTGCCCCTATCGTTCCTCTCACCGTACCCAAAGTCCCCTATTTTAGTCTCTTCTTTATTCATTTTCTCACCAAGTTTGGCATTGAAATCTCCAATTATTAGAGTAAAGCGAGTTTTATGTTCTTCAGGGCCTTTGAGATACCTTCATAGAATATTTCGATGCTCTCGTCGTCGTATGTCGAATAATTTTAAGCGTTGTTCTTTTCATTTTAAGTACGAGATAACCAACCCGATCTGAGACTGCCTTGATAGTTTGGACGTGTTTACTTATTGCTTTATTTATAATAAATCCTACTCCAAAGTTACTGTTGTAGTGTAGCAGGTTATCGGAGTTCAATTTTATTCAATTTTCTGTTTTTCTCCAAGTTTCTGACAAGCCTATATTATTCCTTACTTCATGAAAAGTTGTTGGAGAGTTCTGGATTCCAAACGGCATTTTTACAAACTCGTAGTGTTCATTCTCTACTTTAAAAGCTGTTTCCTAGATGTCTACTGAATCTGATGAAAGTTGGTAGCTAGGTTCAGGGTGGTGAAGTATTGGTATATTCCGAATTTCTCCAATCTGTGATTGATATTTTGGGTTAGATGCTTATCGTCGTTTATCTTTCCATTGACTTTTCAGTAGTTGTCTACACTATAATGCAGTAGTTCATTTTTCCACAGGTATCTGGTTTCTTAGGCACGACTCAAATAAAACTTTGTAGATACATGGAAGAATGTTGTTTTCTATTTAGATTTGTTTAATTAATAGAAATATTTTTGATATTTACTGATTTAGTTTTGCTTTATCAATATATCGGTTATTAAAAATTGTTTAAATGTCAATATATTATCTAGCTTTTGTTATCTTTTGCGTCCATCCCGTCTTCTGTCTGATTTTAATTTTATCTCAAAAAGTTTTACTAAAAATACATTTTTTAATCCTCTCCAGGTTTAATTGGAATTTAAAATGCGATTTTTAGCATCAGCCCGAATGCCTGCCTGCGTTGATGGGCCGCGATCGTAAGATTTTATTCGCTCTGGCCACCATTATTTCAGCTTATTTAGGAGTATTTTTGTGGCTTCGGTATCTTAACGGGTTTTTATTGCAAGTCTTTTTTTTTTCAAGAATTTTTATAGTTCTTCTGATGCATCAAAGGATTTTAGTTAAAGTCTCCGCTGGTAATTAAATGCGGATAAATTTGGCTTTTAGTCCTTTAGGATGATAGGAAAAATAAACCATAAATTTGCTAAGCGGAAAGCCATAACCATGTGTGGCATTTAGAGGGAATTAAAAAAAAAATTATAATTAAAATACCTAATTTAGTATCCATTATAAATTATAAAGCATTGTTAATTTGTCAGTTATTATTGAAACCCTCTAGCTCTTACCAAGCAGATAACGATAATTAATTTTTCCGCAATAACCAACAAAAGCATAATTTGGCTCTGGAACAGACAATAATGGCTTTTATTCAAGAGAAAAAAAAAATCTCTTTGGACTGTAACAGTGACAATGTATAGGAAAGTATGAATAGTGTGGCAACGTTGCCAAATCACGCGAAAGAAAAACGGAACGAAGGACAAAAGCTCATCGATGTTGTGTAATCAAGATGGCAGAGGACAACGAAACTGCACGTGACCGTAGCCAAAAAAGAGGGATGTCTAACAAAAGGTATGTTGGAGTGTAACAGGGGAGTGATTGATTAAAAATTATTTTAATCCTCAAGGGGGTTGCAGTTTGCTTAGGGTGGTAACAACAAGGAAATAAGAGTAGCATTTTTCTATTCTAGCTTGATGGAATCTCCTTTAAAAATTCATGACCTACAAAAAGAAGAAACAAAAGCTCCAATATCTCCATTACGCATGCCCGATTTACCACTACCTCCACCCCCGCCAATGCCCAATATAATGATGACATCTCGTATTGGCTATAGAAGAATCTTAGCCAATAGAAGCAATGAATACCGATCTCCTATTTTAGGGTCTAGGAGCAGTAGTATGGATTTTAGTGGTAGAGGAGGCAATTTTTATCCTAGACAGGAACATTTTGATAGACATTTAGATTCTAATAGAAGTCAAACTTTAAATAATAGAAGACCGGCGGTTGTGAGGGAAAATAGAGCCAATACTGTAGAATTTATGTCGCCTATTTTAGCCAGAGCCTATTTGTATCATAGAGAAAATGGTGGAGCTCCGCAAACAACAAATAATCAACAACAACAAGGTAGGTACTGCCTATATCTCAAAATTATTTTTATTCAATAATTTTTTTTCAGCAATTCTAACAGACCAATTGGGCCTTTCTCCACTTCCAAGACACAAAAACTTCGAACATCTTTCAGAACGCCTGGCTGACTTCAACGATTATCCCATCTTTCCACACCTATACAGCAAACCTTCTCCAGAGATTTTAACCAAAGAGCATAAGAGCAAATATTTTTCCAGAGATTCAGTATTATCCAATGAACTTGAAGAAGTCAGAGCTTTAAATCAAGAACTGCAGCAAAAATATGTTGGAGATAATGCTGAGAAAAACATAAGTAGGATTTTGGGTGGTAATAGTGAAACCAGTCCAGAATATTATAGTGTGTTCATGAATGAACATTACATTAGTGATATTGATGAAAATGAGGAAATCAAAGAATTTGTGTGTGGATATAAGGCACCAGAGAGACGGTAATAATGATTTGGTGGTTTTTCAAATTAAATCAATACAATAATTTTCAGGCATTCAGATCAACAAGAAAAAATCTCTACAGCATTTTACAATTATCCATCATCAACATTACCTACATCTTACAAGCCAAGAAGTGCCAAAAAGTGTTCTAAAAAATCTAGCACAAGTGCTTCCACATCAAACATTAGCAAGCATAGTGAAATTAAAACGCTTTCTCGTGCTAATAGTGAGGATTTTATATCCAGGAAACCAATTTTGAAGCTTTCTGCTAATTTAAGATCTTCTAGTTTACACAGTGATAGTGCGCCTTCAAAGAAATCTAGTGATTATTATACGTTTTTTCCTTTGGTAACTTCTAGTGGAAAAAAGGTTGAATTTAGTGGTGATTCGACGGGAAAAGTTATAAAGAGCCCAAAAAGAACGGTGGTAAAGCTGGCAAAAATCAGGTGAGTACTTGAACAAATAGCTAATAAATCCAACACAAAACCCACTTAAATCTAGGCACAGTAAATTAAATCTAATTTTACTAGACCTACCGCCTAGAAATATCTCTTTTGAAATACAACACCGGGATATATGTTGTGATTTGTTTACGAGAGATAAAAATAGTGCCCCTGGTTGTTTAGTGAAAGGGAAACAGTTTTGTCATCTGTGACAGCCGCCGATTTATCTTTTGGGATTGGATTACCTGAAAAATTTTAATGAATTTGTTCGGGTATAAACTTAGCTTGGATTTGTGTGGTGCAGTGAACCTAGAGAAAATGGTATCATGTAAATAGAACAAAGATGAAATTCTTTAGATGACAGATCTTTTAAAAAAAAAAAAATCTCGAAAACAGTGAACTCTTGAAAAATTATACCAATAAAATACTAATTTGGAGCTAAGATAATTAGGCGATATGATTTTTTTCTATTTTTTTTTTTATGACATTTCATCATTCTTCAAATACGTGGGCCTTTTCCTTTTTCTTCGTGATTCTGTTGTTCTTTGTTTCCTCGGCCAAGGTTTTGATTCTTCTCCTGATTATTAATCACAAGTTCATCGTCCAGAACCGGTTCAATGGTTTCCGTTCTATTTTTGGTACTTGATGTTGATCTCTGAAAATATTTCCAATAGTTTTATGTCTTTTCTCAACCATTTTCTTCTTCTTTTTCTTTAAGTACCTTGTTCTCTACGAACGTTGGCAATCATCAGCGCTATCTATACTTTGTCGACTACTTTTCTGAATAGACTTGTCGTGGTTGCGGTTTCGCCATATCAGTGACGCAAATTTTTGAGCCAAACTATCCTTTGGTATTCAGGGCCTCTTTTGCCTTCGATTTTTGTTTGAAAAGAAGGTATTTGATCTTCATTGCGCACTCTGTTCGTCCAAGATATTCATAACATCCGTCTCTATGTCCACATTTCAAAAGCCTCTAGCTTTTCACACATGAGTCTGTCAGAGTCTACGCCTCAATCCCATAATAGAGAATACTGAAGACGTTGCAACGTAGTACTCGAATGCGAACAGAGAGCGAATACACAACACTAATTTCATTTTTACAAATGATGCTCTGGCTTGTTTAATCCTAGCACGAACCTCCTGCGTGTTATCCCAGTCTTCATGAGCTTGAAATCCTTGAAATATGTATGATTGGACCCGATCGATCTGTTGGTTCTGTACTTGAAGAATACCTCCTCCAACCTGGTTCTTACTAATCACCATCCATTTAGTTTTTTATGGCGTTAAATTTCAATCCAAATTCTCCACTTCCAGTAGCCAAATGATCAAGTAATTCTTGATGACCTTCCAGAAAATCAGCGAGTAAAACCGTATCGTCCGAATACCGAAGATTGCCAATGTTCACGCCGCCGCCATGAATGGAAATTCCCTCAGTGCAGTCTTCTAATGCTTTTTCAAATATTTTGTTCGAATAAATATTAAAAAGTAATGGTGCATGAAAGGATGCAATCCTGCCGGACGCCCCTTTTTATCCGTACTTCGAAAGACATTGGTTTGCGTACCTTAATTTGTGCAGTCTGATTCCAGTAGAGACTTGCGATTATCTTGAGGTCTCTATCCTCTAGGCCTACATTCTTGAGAAATTTCATGTTTTTCGTGTTGTACCCTGTCAACCATTGACCATTGATCAGTTTGCTATGTTATTTCGATTCATTCTTGATTTCCTCAAGCAAAATTGGAAATAGGGGGTATAATATGTATAGTAGGTAGACAATAACTTCCTCTCTATTGCACTTAAAAAAATTCAACTTCATTATCCTTCTCTTCCTTCATGAAAGTGTGGTTTGGAAGAGCTGAAAGCTATCTGAATTAAAAAAAAATAAAATAGTCTGACAGTTAGGCGGCTGATGTGGGGCCAGGACACCAGGGCCTAGAGGGCAATGAGGAGGCAGGCAGTCTCGCAAAACAAGGCGTTTTAAAACCTTTTCAAGACCCAGGAGCCGTTTTGTGGATTAATGAAAAGCCATGTCTCCGAAGAAATAAACATGGAAAAAGGACCGAATACTAGCTCATTGGAAATCCATTCGGAGTTTGAGACAGGCAAAAAGGTTCATATCCATCTCAGCAAAGGGATCTGAACAACTTCTTTACATAAACAAAAGAGATATTATTACAGTCGTTGGTCTGCTCACTGTTCTCTTCTTGTTCTTCTTCTTCGTTAGCCTGTACTCGTCCACTGATGGATAAAGGCCTCTTCCAGATTTTTCCATGTCCGTCGGTCCTCAGCAGCTTTTCTCCGTTAGATCCCAACGATTTGCCTGATGTCATCTCTCCATCATCTCTGAGGGCGTCCGGCGTTTCGCTTACTTATTCGGGGTCGCCAGAATGTAATTTTAGATGTCCATTTATCTGGGTTCACTCGTGCTATGTGGCCTGCCCATTGCCATTTTAATTTCACTGTGTGAGTTAGTATCTCGGTGACCTTTGTTCTGTTTCGAATGTCAGTACTGCGTACTCGGTCCCTTAGAGTGATTCCCAACATAGCTCTTTCCATAGCCCTTTGACATACGCACAGTTTTTCCTTAGATTTCTTTGTAAGGGTCATGGTTTCCAGTCCATACGTAGCAACAGGAAGTACACACTTGTCATATGTTTTTTTTTGAGTGAAAGCGGAATGTTTTTATTTTTAAAGATGAAATCCAACTTTCCGAATGCAGCCCAAGCCAAACCTATCTTCCTCTTTATCTCGGCAGTCTGATTTTCTTTACCGAGCTTTATGACATGCCCTAGGTATATATAGTGAGCCACTGTCTCTACAGCGATGTTATCTATATTTACTAGGAGATTTTTATTGCTAAGAATTTTCGTTTTACTAAGATTCATATTTAGTCCTATCGTCTGTGACTGTTTTGAGTTCATTTAGCGTTGTACCTAGCTCTTGTATGTCGGAGCTTATCGAATGTAATACCACAAGAGGTTTCAGGATTACCAGATAATACTTTTACCTGTCACGGAACGCGTTACGCAGCAACACCACGACTCCGAAGGAGGAGTGGTGTTGATGGTAACGCGTTGAGTGTCAGGTAAAAGTATTATCCGGTAATCCTGAAACATCGAGTGGTATTCAAAAGGTTATACAACGAGCTAAACTTTAATAGTTTGAAATGAAAAAAAAAATTATATAATAGAATTTGCTATAAATGCCACCAAGTGCGATAATCCCAGGCTTATCACTTATTAGGCCTCTCGTGTCATATGGGAATAATGTACAGTGAGTTGTATAATCAATATAATATCGTCCGCAAATCTCAAGTTAGTGAGATGACTTCCATTTATGTTTATTCCCTTGTCTGCCCAATGTATTGTTTTAAAAACGTTTTCCAACGCTAAAGTGAAAAGTTTTGGCGATATGGTATCACTCCTTTTCTTAGGGGGATTTTGTTCGTCTTCATGTCATCATCGATTTTTATATGAAACGTTGCTTGTTGGTATATGTTCTTTAGGAGGAGGGAATAGCATAGGGCTTCGCAAGACCAAGACCAAGACCAAGACTGGCCAGTCTTGGTCTTGGTCTCGAAAAATAAATGCAGTCTTGGTCTTGGTCTTGGTCTTGATGTTTCAAGACCAAGACAAGACTGGATCAATCTTGGTCTTGGTCTTGAAAGTCTTGGTCTTGGTCTTGATAGTCTTGAAAACAATGTATACCAAATTTTTAAAACACACCTAACATAATTATAACGACAGAGCAGAGATAATGGGTTTAGGATCTCAGAAATAAAAAATAAAACTCCCTTTCTGAAAAAATTATGCCGACGTTTCGACCATGCATTTGGTCTTCTTCACAGGTTATTTTTACCAGCAAGAGTGTTCCATGTCAAAAAATACCGCATTATGCATTTCACAATACAGAAGAACAAACAAACATCCATTCTTGAATTAGAATTTTCATTAACAGAACAGGAAAGTTGACAAACACACCATATAATTGCCATTCTGTACCAAGGATTTTTTTTTTAAATTTGAACATAAGAATAAATCTACCTTACCTACCTGAGCATTCAGGCCAGACAAAGGTTTTCGAGAACCCTCACATAGCTCATTTGAATTTCATTGGCCTATTCCATTCACAATAATTAGATTTGGGTTCCTTTGGGTTAGATGTGCGGTTTGTATTTCGGTAGAGAGTAGAGAGTTTCTTATTTCATTTCAAAATTACTTCATTTCTGATTCTACAATTCTATTGGTCGGCGGTTTACTGGTCGACCAATGGGGAAACAGATTGCGTTTTTATCGGTCCTATTGCATATCTGACAGTTTATCAGAAGGTGAATAAACCGGCCTTAAAAGATATCAAAAGTAGATATAGGAATTTGCATATTTTTATAAATATTGAGTCGATTTTTCATTCCAAGACCAAGACCAAGACGAGAGTCTCGAGAGAGAGTCTTGGTCTTGGTCTTGGTCTTGAACGTCAAGTCTTGGTCTTGGTCTTGAGAAGATTTATTAGGTCTTGGTCTTGGTCTTGGTCTCGGTCTTGCTACCAAGACCAAGACAAGACCAAGACTAGTCTTGTGGTCTTGCGAAGCCCTAGAATAGCATGAATCGATTCTGGCGTCGTCCATTGCCTCAAGAAACGACCATATCTCGATGCTATCAAAAGCTTTATGATAACAGTATAACTTATATAAATGAGAAAGCAGGCTGATAGGACGATAATTCTCTATATTCATGTATATCTCCTTTTTTAAATATAAGTGTCACTTCTGCATTTTCTCATTTTTTTCCTTCTGTTAGGCATTTATTGAGTAGTGTTTTGATATGATTCATAAGTTCGTTGCCTCCCAGCTTTAGCATCTCTACCGTTATGTGGTCTTCCCCTGGAGATTTTTTATTTTTTAAATGTCTTGAAGCGTGTTTTAGTTTTGAAGGCGTAATCTCGGATATTTCTTCTCAGCCCATGTTTAGAATTTTCACCGGTTCTATATGTGGTTTTGGTACCGTAG